ATCTCACTATTTCTTTTTTATCTTTCTTTAAATTTTTATTTTAACAAATGTGTTGATATGCTGGGCAATATTAGTGCACTGAATAATCCATATAGAAAATATGTTTACAAGTTTCTGAAAAAATGAAGGCAGTTTCATCAAATGTTTTATAGAGCAGCCTATACTTTTAAAAAAATTGTATTTTATTTAAATTCTAGCAAATTTCTACTCGCAGAAATTTTTCTGGTAAAACATGGGAAATCAAGGAATTTAAAAAATTGGAACAAGCATTTTAAACAAAACAAAAAATGAATAACAAATTTACTAAAAGCATGTTACAAAAAGTCTGCTATTGCAGCAAGTTTCCAAGGCATCAACAAAATGCCAATATTATTGATGTACTAATAAAGTATGTTTATAAGGTATTAAGAATAATTAGTCTTCTGAGAAATTCCGTGGTTTATATGACAGTACAAAGAAAGAAGAAAAAATCAAATACTAAGAAAATTTTTACTCTTAATTAATTGGTGTTTTTAAATTGTTTTTACTCTAAATAATTTAAATTTTATTATTTTTTTACCAAAAATTTTTTATCTTTTTAAGCTTTAAAGTATGTTACAACAGTTCAACATTTTACAGTTGTTTTATTGTTTAAATCTTTGATAGCATTATCTTTAGTGCACTCTAACTGCAGCATGAGGTTGTATCATTAAAAAGAGCTCTCTAAATAAGAGCAGTAGTCTCTCTGGGATTTTTTTGACAGGTACTTATTTTGAGAAAATTTAAAATTATATTAAAAAATCAACAGAAAAATATGGTAAAGTAAGAAAATATTTTCAAAAATTGTCACTACAGATAAAAATCATTTATGACTGGTTAATTTTCGATATATTTTCCCCCCTATATTCAAAAACAATTTTGCTATTATACAATTTTTGGCTTAAAATTGTATCCAAATTCATAATCCATAAAAATCATTGTCAATAATTAAATTTCAGTTTGAAATTAATAAAAACATGCATTTAACAGTACTAGCACGAAAAGCTATTTTCATTATGAGAACATTTTCTACTGGGTCATACGAAAAAAAGCTTCACAGAGAAAAAAATAAAAGTTTGTTAGAATAAAATTAGAATAATGTTTAAGATAATAGTTGGAATTTCGACTTCCTGTAAAGTTTATATCTTTGAGGTTTTGTAGAAATCCCTATTATGGTTAGCCACAAGACTTAAATAAAAACTTTCCAGTTGTTCTGGGTTGGGCCAAAAAAAAAATTTTTTTTTTTAAAGTGCAGAAAAAATAACCTTATGCTCAAAGAAGAAAATTGATCAAAAAAAAGAAGTAAATATTGAGAGATACAATAATGAATACATGTAAACAACATCTAGAAAATTATTCTATGTAGTTGGGAGAGAGAGATATTGCCTACTGAATGGAAGTTACAGTTACACATAATTGGAGTATTCTATGTCCAATACATAAAAAAGGGGATGCATTGGACAGTCACAATTATAGAGGAATAAGTCCGTTATGCCTTGCCTGTAAGGTCTTCTCAAATATCCTATTTGAACGTCAGTCTCCCATTGTAGACAGCGTCATTGGTGATTATCAGTGTGGCTTCCGCAAAGGAAGGTCCACAGTTGACCAAATCTTCCTCCTACGACAAACTTTGGAGAAATGTAGAGAATTTGGAATAGAGACCCATAATTTATTTGAGGATTTTAAGGCGGCAGATGACAGTATTAATAGGACTGAGCTATTTAAGACCCTATCTGATTTTAATATTCCATCAAAATTAATCAGACTTGTAATGCTCACTCTCACTTAAGCCATTTCAACGGTACGAATTCAGGGGGAACTATCTACCTCTTTTGAAATTTATGATGGAGATAGACAAGGAGATGCATTAGCATGTCTTCTGCTTTACATACCCTTATACAAAAGTTATTAGAGATGCAGGCATAAATACTATAGGTACTATATTTATTAAATCAGTGCAGATTTTGGCATATGCCGATGATGTAGACATCATCGCAAGATCTAGGACTGCACTGAGTGAAAATTTCTTGGCACTAGAAAAATCAGCTAGAAAAATTAACTTAAGAGAAAAATAAATACAGTAGGGAACCGATTATCCGGAACGATCGGGACCATCGCTACTCCGGATAATTGATTTTTCCGGTTTTCTGAATCGCTACAAAAAGCCGTTTTTTTATTGTTAAAGCCAACTAAAAAAATATATATTTGGAAATAATCTTAAAAAGAAGAAAAAACGAAGTAATACACTAATGATTATTTCCAAAATGATGGTAAGGTAAACATCTTTCAAAAAAGAAAGAAAGATCCTAAAATCTTATGAGGAAAAAAAATTTTTTTTTTTTTAAAAAAAATGGTGGGAAAATTTATGGAATTTCATTTCGGTTTTCTGATTTCCAGATAACGGGTTCTGTACTGTATATGCATTGTGGTACAATGGAAACCAACCCCAAATTGTTTGAAATGAATTCTTTTAAATTTGAATCTGTAAAAATTTTTATTTATCTAGGATCAGAAATAAACTATCAAAATGACATTAATCCTGAAATCAGAAAAAGAATAATCGCAGCCAATCGCTGCTTCTATGGTTTAAGATCATTATTGAAATCACACTTAATGAAAAGAAAGACGAAGATTTTACTTTATAAGGTACTAATCAAGTCAGTTTTGACTTATGCTTCAGAGACATGGACTTTAACAAAAAGGGAAGAGAAGTTATTAGCAACCTTCGAGAGGAAGGTCCTACGAACCAACTTTTGCACTATCCTTGATAACAGCAACTGGAGAAAAAGATATAATTTTGAAATATATAAGATCTTTAATAGTGATGATATCCAGAACGAACAGCATTAAGAGTCTTTAATGCAACCCCCTCCAATAAAAGACCAAGAGGAAGGTCCAAAAAGATATGGAAAGACTGTGTGGATGAGGATTTTGCCATCCTAGAAGTAAAGAACTGGAAATCAACTGCTGGGAGAAGGGCAGAATGGGAAAATCTTCTGAGGAAGGCCCAGGCTCACAAAGGGCTATTGTGCCAATGCTGATGATGATAATGAATACAGTGGTTAAGGGTTATTCATTTTACTTTGAAGTTTAAAAGTAATTTCAGGAGAGTTTTGAATGTGATTTTAATATTTTCCCCTTAAAAACATTTATATATTTGGGGTTTTGTAGAAATCCCTATTATGTTTAGCCACAAGACTTAAATAAAAAATTAGATTTTCCAGTTGTTCTGGGTTGGGCCAAAAAAAATTGTTTCTATTAATAATTTTTTTTTGGCCCAACCCAGAACTGGAAATTTATTTATCAAAAATCCAATTCTATAATATGAAAAATTCATACAATTGCGATAAACACATATTTATTTAAACAGAAGATGTTTAAATTTAAAGCTTTTACAACTTTTTTTGCTGCTGGTAAATGTGTCATCACATATATTTGCAAAAATAAATAATAAAATGTGCATGCAGTTTCATACGACTGTACATGTAACAAAACAATTCTTGACACATTCATATTGTAGGTGGCTAACAAAATTATGAATAAATTATAAATTATTAAACTATTAAATTATTTAGTTATTAAACTAATAAAATTATTAAACTATACATAAATTTAGTTCAATTATTCTGAGAAATTTTTAAAAAAAACCTTGTTAACAAAATACAACATTCAAAACATTGCTGTAACATTGAAGAAAAAAAACAGTATTAGACACTACAGGGATAGATGCTTTTTTGTATAAGCATTTAATTTTTTTTTCCTACTGTTCCAGTTTCTTTAGAAAAATGTATGAATTTTCTATTTGTCTCAATATACAATCTAAATTTCTTTCAAAAACAGCATTCATAAAAAAGATATATGTTTTCAATAGATTGCTCTGAAGAAAATTCTGTCAGGGCTCAGTTGCGGGCCTAAGTCTACTTAATAATTATATTCTTTGATTCCTTTTGTGCCATTTCACAATGATAAAAACAAGCCACAAATGATAAAAACAAGGAGTCATCCTCATCACGACATTGAAATAAAAAAGATATGACTTATTTCACTTTTAAAAACATGAAATAAGAAAATTTAGCTGCAGCAACTCCATTTAACAATTTCGGATTAAAAAATGCGAGAAAAATTATCCATTTTCTAAGTTTTTATGAATTTTGAATGTGACCGGAAGACATCAAACAATTTTTAATCAACTTTTTCCAGAGAGACATCTTTTCCACACTACAACATTTTGAAAATAAAAATGCTATTTTTTGACCCACCCTATTCAATATATAGAACAGAATTTTTTATAATGGCGGGCACTTGAGTCTATTTCCCATTGGTCTCAGAAATGCCAGAATTGCTACTCTCTTATCTTTACCCAATGGGCACCTGTGGCTAAGACACGGCAGTGGAGCAGCGTCGCCCACGTCAAATAACCACAAACCTGTTTATAGGGCGGGTTACACGCACACAGAAGAATAGACATAAAGAGAAAAAGTCACATCCATGCTCATGGTGGGATTCAAAAAGACAACCACTGGCCCCGTAGCCCAGTGCAGTAACCACTAGACCAGTGATCGGCATACATAGACAAGATATAGAACAGAAATGGTACCTTTTCAACATCTGCCCTATGACTCTCTAGCAGTTTCAATGTGGCTTGGTATGCCCTGTCAACCAATTCTCTCACTTCAGAATCAATGATTTGTGCAGTGGCTTCACTGTATGGTTTGTCGATCACCATATCTCCGGGTTGTGGTAAATCAAATGACAACTGACCTACCTTCTCATTCATTCCAAATTGAACAACCTAAAACAACAAAAAAATTAAATTAAACTTTTTTTGAAAGGCAAAATAATACCCTTAAGTAAAAGACATGTACAGGGAGTCTTAAAAAGGTCAATGCTAAAGTCAACATACTGGTCTGGCCTATCATGAAGAACAAGCATTTACAAAAGAACTTAATGCAAACTGCAACTGCTAGCAGGCAATGTTTGCAGGCTATCAGTGACACACCATTTTCTGTAACTGAACATTTTCTGCAATTTACCCATATTCTTTAATGAAATCCACATTAACACCACTTTTGCCATTATTTCTCTCTCCGCCTTTATACGCCTGGGAACATTGACTACTATCAGTTCAAAATGCAGTTTGCACTTCTGAACACAAATTCCTAAGCAAATCTTGATCATCCTGATATGACAAAATTTTTGGACACCTGGCATATATATATATATATACAGTCAAACCCCGCTATACTGAACCTTCAAGGGACCGAAATTTCGGTTCACTATAACCGGGAGTTCACTATATCTGTTACGCAGGCAATTTAACTAATAGTTCCCAAACTCCTCCCTTTTATTACACATTAGTCTAATAAATGACTGAAAAATATTATGTAGTAGCAAAAAATGTGCTATTTTTCATTACTCTTTGTCTTATGTACAAGTATTCATCTTGTGAACACTTCCCGATTCTCGGATAATTTTTTCCTGAATTTCTGTTAATCCGTTTTTTAACCCTGGAAATATCAACTTGATTGCAACCATTTTAAATTTTTCTGATTATGCCCATTTTATCATCAATGGAGAACGTTTTACGTTTACTGCTCGCCATAGTTAAATTTGAGACACTTGTTTGCATGATTTTTTTTAACTGAGGCACATTGGTCCCACTGACACCTTACATGTGCATCATCTGCCTGGGTTGGAAACATCTGCTTGGTTTGATTAGGGATAGAAAAGTGAGATAAAAGAAGCAAACAAGAAGAAATCCTTATCGCTACATTCCCCTCTATAGATGGTTTAAAAATCGGTATATGTAATTATATTGAAGTAGAAATTTCAAAATTATGACCAAAAAAAATCAGTCGAAAATGGAAAAAAGTTCATTATATCCAACTTCCTCACATTTTTGGTTCACTATATCCACAAAAAATAACATTATACGTGTATAGCAAGGCACGGGACCGAACATTTCGTTCACTATATCCGGGAGTTCACTATAAACTGTGTTCACTATAGCGGGGTTTGACTGTATATATATATACACACATTAAAACCTCGCTACAACAATATTTTTGGGACCCAATAAATATATTGCTGTAGAGGGGTGCATTTTTATATCTAGGGACAACATATTTTGGGGACACAATAAGATTTTTTTTAAAATTTTAATATTATATATGTATTAACTATAAATGTATATATTAATTTGCAGATAGGTTAAATATTAAAAACAATTGAAATAAAATAAGAAAGCAAATATATCTGGAAAGCCGTTTTTACAGAAAATAATCCGACATTTTTGCTTATTCATTCTTCTGACTGTTGAAGTCAACCAGCAAAGTACGCATTGAGTTTAAAGTACAAAAATGATTTTCGTTTGTGAGTGATGCTCCGCCCACCCTCTATGAAAAAAATTCTATCTCAGGTGCCAATATGATGCTTGTGCTCATTTGTGAATCATGATCAAAGTTTTAACATAAAGGAAATGAAATCAGATAGGAATGTTACATCTCTGACTTCATAAGAGATAAGGGAGGCAATTCTAAAAATGAAAGCTCTTGGGGGTGGCCATCAGTGAGTCTTTTCTTGTCAGAAAAAAAAATGGCAAAAGATGATAAAATAAGATTTTTTACATTATTTGAAAACCAATAATAAATGGAAAAAACAAGGTTGAAATTAGGTAAGAAAAAATCTTTTACAGGGATTTATTGCTTCAGAAAATATCGTAATATTGAGAGGAGCATGACATTAATTCATATGCAAGTTCGTCAGTTCGTTATTGTTCTATCGGATATCCTAGTAGCGAGAGTTCACTGTATATATACAGTGGAACATCGTTTATACGACGATCACTTATACGACGTTTACATTTATACGACGTTTTAGTGTGGTCCCAAATCATTCCTATTCCTTTCAATGTAAAAATATATCGTTTATACGACGCACAGAATCGGTTATACGTCGGTTTTTAGATTTTGCTCACGTTTATTTAATTTTTTATTTTTTCTTGTGTATTTTAAGAAAGGGCGGAATTTGCCAACATGAATGATACAGAAAAGGGTGCCAACAAGAATGCTTGGATGACGACCGTAATTTTTACTAGATGACTGAAAAAACTAGACAATGTTATGAAGAGGCAAAAACGAAAAATTTTGCTATTCATCGACCAATGTCCAGCGCACCCATCGATACTAATTATTTTGGAAAATGTAAAAGCTCTCTTTTTTCCTGCAAATTGCACAAGTGCGCTTCAGCCATTAGATTTGGCCGTGATTAGAAATCTAAAATTGCATCATAGAAAGCAGTAAGTTCAACTCGCTATTCAAAGCATTGTAGAGACTAATAGCAAGAAAATATAATTAAAGGTAACATACATTCAAATTGCTCACTGCAATTTTTCTTCTTTGGTTATTTGTTTGTTTTGCTTTGTCTGATTTAGAAATTTATGTAAATCAACTGAAATTAAATTAACTGATTAAATTAATTAAAATTAACTGAAAACATAGTTTCAGTTTTAGAAGTAAAAATCGATTATACGACGTTATCGTTTATACGACGATTTTCGGTGGTCCCTTCGGCGTCGTATAAACGATGCTCCACTGTAATAATATATACATATATTTCTCAAACTCTGATTGTTTTTTACCTATATAGTAATAAAATCATTATTGTCTATTTTACTTGAGCCATTTTACGGTAGTTAACAACACATTTATTTTCAACTTTCTTTAAGAAATTAATTTCGCTGGTACACTTGCATCTTTTGTCTTGGGAGCAGATTTCAACTGCAAAAGATGAAATTAAAAACATTGTCTATAAATTGAGTCCAGATTTGTGTTTCTTCCCAGTTTTGATTTGATTTTATAGCAAACAGAAAGAAAGTTTTTCTTAATTTTTGATGCACAAGGGCAGGATCTATTCCAAATAATAGTGTTATACCAAATGGCACTTTTTCAGTGCTGTGAAAGATTCTATAGAAAAAAATTTCTCAAGTTAATAAAAATCCCCCTAATATCATAATAGACTTTTTATGATATACACTTTTTGAAAGGTATGAATAAAAAATGTAAACCAATTTTTACAAAAATTTTTTCCTAGAATAAATTGGAGAAATTTTGTTTTTAAATTACATATTAATAGAATTTTTGTGATTTAAACTTTTTGAAAGGTATGAATAAGAAATAAGAAATTTAAACCAATTTGTACAAAAAATGTTTTCCTAGAATAAATGGGAGAAATTTTGTTTTTAAATTATATATAAATAGAATTTTTATGATTTAACTTTTTGAAAGGTAGGAATAAGAAGTTTAAACCAATTTTTACAAAAAAAAAATAAATAAATAAAATAAACTTTTTTTTAAATAAATTGGAGAATTTCAGTTTTTTAAATTTAACTCAACATACTGTGAAATTTCAAAGAGTATTAAATAACAATTCAAAATAAAAGAAACATTTTCATACCTGAGCATAGGCACTCTGAGTAACTTTCTTCAAATCATCCTGAGCACCAGTAGTTATTTTTTTGAAGAAAATCTGTTCTGAAACTCTGCCTCCCAAGGTCATACACATTCTATCAAACAACTAGAATATTTCAAAATAAAAATTAGATACTTTTTATGTTAACAGGTTACACCATTAAAAAAAATTGCACTTGGGAATTATGCAAATGAAATGTGTTTTTCTAGAACCTATTTTATTTTGTAGCCATCTTTGAACGGTCGACCCAATTTTTGGGTTTACGTCTACTAATGTTAAACTCTGTAGCCTTGTAATTTTGAACCCAATCCATAAGACAAGGGAACTCCTGGATCAATTTGCTTTCACGTAGGACTTTTGATGGAACTAAACCGCATTTGCGTTAAATGAAGATGAAAACCTCCCATGGTTAGCCTGAAGGCAAGGGGACTCTGACCCATAATCCCTCTACCACTAAAGCTATTTTACATCAGCACTGTGGTCGGCCGAATGCCGAATTCTTATTGGCAAGCAATTGCTGAGATTCCAACGCGGTTCACTTTATTAGAAGGTGAACGCTCTATCCCCTGAGCCATCCTGGCTCTTTATAACATATTATCAATAATAAACACTAAAAATATTTTTCAAAAAAATTATATAGAATAGGGTTGCACACGGGCTGTTTAAGTGTGGTCTTCAGCACAACATAAACATAATAAAAAATATTAACATTTTCTTTTTGAAAAGAAAAAAAGTTGAAAATTTCGAATCTCACATTCAAGTCATCACTTTTAAAAGCACTCAAATCGTGCACACTCTGTTGTAAATCTGTGCAGTTTTTTAATCGCTTTTTTGGCGATCATTGCCAGGGATTGAAATCGAGTTATTATTTGATTGCAATGTATGTGATAATCACATCATAAATACAATTACACAAGCATTACATACATTAATAATTTTCCATTCATTTTAGGCAATATTTAAAAATAAATCAGTTTTGTACAACATTAATAAATTGAAGTTCTCTTTTTATAAATTATTACAACAATCCATGCAAAATCTTGAATAAAAAAAAATGAAAGCAGACCTGTTCTTTACTGTATAAGTATTGTTCTTTGGGCAGATATTGGGCATATCCTAGACCCTTCCCACGAGGAATGATAGAAACTTTCAAAAGTGGATCAGCATGCTCTAAAAACCAGCCTGCAACAGCATGTCCTGCCTCGTGATACGCTACAGTTCGTTTTTCTTCTACTTGCAAAACATTCGTTTTCTTCTCCATGCCTAATCAAAAACATTTTTGTAAAAAAGACAATTCAAGCTCACTTTTTTCATCAGTATAAAAAGAAACAAAATTTTTCAGTAATTTTTAATACATTTTACACCCCTTCACCTGCATTAATCTAAAAAAAAACATTAGATTTGAGTCAATGTTTCCTTTTTTTAAAAAATAATCAATAAAGCTTTGTTACATACAGTAAGAAGCAGAATTTTTTCGAGCTATGTGCGACGAAACTCTTTAGCACTATTTTTGTGCAAGATTGTTTATATAATAACAAACATATAAATTAGTAATTTAAAGAAACGAAAGCTCTGTGTTTACAAAAAGGAACTATCTAATTTTTTTTAATTAAACATGTAATAATTTTTTATTCTTATAGTATGGGTGATATTCTCGCATTTTGTAGGGGGGGCACAAATTATTTCCTTATTCGCATTTTGTAAATTATCATCTCAATAAAAAATATAATGAAAAATCATGACATCCGTAGTAGTAATAGCCAAAATAAAAATAAAAAAAAGATAGACGACGAAATCATGCGAATTGAACTTCTTAAATACGTGTTTTGATTCCAGATTAGATTGTTGCAATAAATAATATTGTATGTAAAATATCGGATTTAAAAACTATGGAGACATATATCGGAATATTTAAAATCCATGTGAAGATCAATATCAATAACTGCCGAAAACACAATTGAAACATTAACTGCCAAAAACACAATTTAAACATTACATAGATTTACGATACTATCGGGGTAAACTGAGCTCGTCAAAATGTTATTATCCAGATGCATGGTTCAAATATTTCGTGTATATTTCTGCAGAAAAGAAAATTAATTTTCTTTTTACTTTTCAAAAGAAAAATCTTTCTGCAAGAACTCTGCAACGTTCGGTGACTATGTCGCTGTGGTTATGCCATGGGGTACAGTACATTTGAATTCTGAGACAATGCTCAGAAATAATCAAAAATTACAAAAGAATGTATCATAAACAAAAATAAATATTTGAAAAACATTAATTAAAGAGTGCTAGGAAAATAAACTAGGAAAATTTACTTGTATTGTGGAGAAAAAAATGAAACAAACATGAGAAATTTAGAATATGAAAACAGACCTGTTTAATTTTTTTTTGTGTATGGAGCATTTTTAAAGGACAAAGAAAAAACAAAAGCCAGAAAGCATCTAATAAGAGCTGTCATTAATATTATAATTGCTGTCCCACGATTCGAGAAAAATATGGAATATTATTAATACTAATAACAGCAGATATGGAAAAGAATAACTGGAACAGCATTGGACTAAAAAAGAAATTAAAGCTAAATTATTTTAGACTTGGAATTGAACAAACGATTTTCAAGAATGTGACTTTAAAGAAGTTACCTAATGTGCATAATATTTTTAGGGAAAGATACTGAAATGAAACATCTTGATTCATCAAGTTCTTTAATTGCAGTTCATTCTTAACTCTTTATTAGGTCAAATATTATTTATACTTAGTCATGAAAATGACTGTTTCTGGTCAATTTCTAGTTTCAAACTAGTGTCCAGTAAAGAAAATTCCTTAACTTTAGAAACCCATTATTCAAACTAAATGAAATTTTCAATAATTAAATAAGCAATATTTCCTAAATAAATTATGTAATTTTATCTATTCACATTCACTGTTATGAGCATCTATGGTCAAAAATATTTTCATTTCTTTCACCTGGTTATTATTCTAAGAATCATTGATACTATTCGATCTTCTTAAGATATGAGCCTTCTTAAGATAAAGCAAATAATTTTTCCTTTTTTTCCGCAGAATTATAATTAATTCCGCAGATACTTTTCTTGTTCATCGGAAAGGAAAGAAATATTGCGGATTTTTGTGTTCTCATTTCGGAATAAAAGAAATTCGCCAATGACTGGCTTGCTGCAGTTAGAATTTTAAATTGATAAAAAAAAACAATAAATAACAAAAATTCTGAAATCACAGAAGTTTAAAAGATAATTTGCGCTAGAAGTGATGTTTTTTCTTTTATTTTTTGAAAGAACATAATTTTTAAAGACATGATAAAAACAATTTATATTTTAATCAAATATGACTGTGAGTAGGAAATTTCTTACAAATTCAGATATTCGGAACACCATGAAATTGGGTGAGAGGTAAATTCCAATTTAAAACTTAGATTTTTTGGCGACTTAAAACCATGACTTTCCATGATTTTTTCAAAAAATTAGCTAAAATCATGGCATTTCATGACAAATTTTGTTCAGCATTCATGACTTTCCAGGTGGGCAGATACCCTGCATAAATTTTAAAGAATCAGGCTTTTTATAAGTGCAGTACACTATAAAACTAAAATAAACTTAAAGGGTTAGTACCTGCAACGACTCGCTCAATGGCTTGTTCAAAATGTGGCATTTTGATACTTTCATTCAAATCTCTCGCAGCTATGAGTGCAGCTTCATTGCACACGTTGGCAATATCAGCACCTACAATAATAAAAATTAAAAATAGTTTTTTTAGACGAATAAAATAATTAGTTGATTTTTTTCTTTTTTAGAATGATATCGAGTGAAAATATTTAGCACCTGTGAAGCCTGGTGTTAAAGCAGCCATTTTTCTAGAGAGGTCCATTTTGTCAATGAGTGTCTTTAGAGGCTGCAGATGTACTTTGAATATAGAAGCTCTAAGGGGACAGAGATTTCATTTTAAAATGGAAACATTTCCAATTTGCAAGATGACTCAAATTTAAAACACAAATACATTTTACAGAGAGTCGTTTAATAAAAGCATTTAAACAACATTTTGAGAGATTCGGAAAAACGTTGACATAAAATAGAGATTCGAAAGAGTGTTAATATAATACTTGAAACTTAGTAAATTTCCCATAAGAAAAAATTTTTCTTGAAAAACTATGCAATTACCATAAAACTGTTTGCGGTGGAAAAGTTAGTTCAATAAACAGATTCATTTGTTTCAGGTTTAAAATATATAGATATGAAAAATAAAATAGAGATATAGTTTGAATAAAATTTTTTCTTTGTAATGCTAATGAATTTTCAATATTTGTAGCAGATTGCTATTCTTACAAACTAGCATCTGAATCACTTAATCTAAACACAGTAGAACCACAAGCAATCATTTCTCGTGTGACCATTCTTTGCAAATGAGAGATAGGGAATGTGGATCAACAAAAAATAGAGATTTGAAAAAGTATTAATATTTATAATACTTGAAACCTAATAAATTTGCCACAAGAATGGAAAAATAATTTATTGGAAAACTATGAAATTACTGTAGAAATGTTTATGGTACAAAAGAGAATTCAATTAATAGATTTATTTGTCTAAAATATATAGATATGAAAAATAAAATAGAGATATAGTTTGAATACACTTTTTCTTCTTAATGCTAAAGAATTTTCAATATTTGTAGAAGATTGATTGCGTTAAGATTGCGACATTGTTTCATAGCTTTGAGGCCTTCCACAAGTGCTGACACTGCTTATTGCTTCATTTCACCATCTTCATCGGTATCAATTTGTTGTTTTACTGTTTCTTCGAACCGATATCAAACAACAATATTCAACGTTTTCCAAAACTGAAGCTTTAACATCAAATGTGATAACTGAGGGTTTTAGGTTGGTCATTTTTTAAGATTAAACTATGTTTTAGATAATTGCACAATTTTAAATAGTTTCATAGCTACCAACATGGATAGAAAAAAATCCATTAATCCAGAAATAATATAAATTTCATGATAATTGTTGCATAATGTACTAAATATTATACACATAGGGAATTTTAGGGATTTTTATAGTCATCAGAATAGAAAAGCTGCAATATTTTACAGTTATGTTTGACATTAAACATACTTGAAAAGCTATCTATTACGTTTACCCATAATTTCGAATATTATTAGGCATTTAATTCATCAAAGATTGTTAAAAATTCTATTTCAATGGGGATTTTTTTAGGAAACTTACTCCAACTTTATGGAATTTTCTAAAATTTACAAAAACCAGTAGAATTTTAATTAAACCAGTAGACCAGGAGAAACTGGCAAAATCCAGTACTGTACTGGAAAATCCAGTAGAGTTGGCAGCTAAGTACGTAGTTGGGATAGAAATTCATCTTCCTCTATAATTAATTGACTTTTTTTCAAAATTCAAATTAAAGACTACATTGGATTTTTAAAGATTTCCATGACCCCATTGGAACCTAGGTTCTTTTAAGCCAATGTCAAATTAAAAAAATAAAATTAAATTTAAAAAAAAGTAGACTCACCTTCCTTTAATATCAGGAGCAGGTACAAATATTTGTCGATCAAATCTACCAGGACGGAGCAGAGCGTGATCTAATATATCTACCCTATTGGTGGCAGCAAGTACAACCACATTCGTAGTTGTATTAAAACCTAAAGAAATAGATTAATTTTTAAAAAAAGTTTTAAAAAAAATTTTATATGACAAAATAGCTTGAAAATATATTATAACACAATACTGCTATAATTTCAGTTTTGAAATCATTCATGACTCAGAAAGCTAATACAACCATCCAGAGAGCCAGGTTAGGGAGTGCCAAACAAGACACAGATTTATTTAATGTTCTCATAATTTTCTCTTTTTTCTGCTAATATTGTTTCCTAAAAAAATATATTTATAGGTTTTTATTTTTTTTAAATTCTTGGATTAACTTTCTACACGGTAAAAGTTCAATGATTAAAAGTTTTACTATGGATGGAAACAACAGCATTCAGCAGGAAAGCTACATTCTTGACATTAAATAGGAAGAGTTCTACATTTTACAAGGGGTGATGTGGTCTGTAAATTTCACACTTGTATGTCTAGAGAAGATTTGAAGCCTTCTAAACATTAAAATGACATCTTGGAAAACGAATTTTCTGCTAATGTCAATTTACTAAAACTACTAAATGTTCCAAAGAACCATGGAAACCCTAAAAATATAACTTGTAGTCATTTGATAGTTTGAGTACATTATCTGAGAATACAGAAAGGCGAATCAGAAGTAGCATTTAAAATAAATGGCAAACATATTTATTCTTAATATAATACCTATCAAAAAAAAAAAAAAAACGGTCCTAAGTTACTAAATAAAATATTTTTCCATTATAAAAAAACTTGTTTTGTTTTGTTTTAATTCGGTAATTAAGAATCAAGTGTTTTGTCTTGTAACTACATATGAAAGTATGACATAGTTTTGTCAATTGACAAAATTTAAAGGGCAATTTTCGGTCAGAAATAATCCATTTTCCACATTAGACCCTTCTCCACTTTTAGATTTTTAAGTCACATCACATCATTTCTTTCTAAAAAAAAAAACTAACTATACCAGACAATTAGTTTGTAATTTTTAACACAATATTTGATTTGAATAATTGAGAATTTACAATAATTTGGATTAAAAATATTTCTTTAAATTTAATGCTCGAGTCCAATAAAAAAGATTTAATTTTAAATAGCTTTACAAAAATTAAACTGTAAAAAATCTATAATAATATAAATAGAAGAAAATTCATTTTTAACAAAAAATTAAGATTTTAGTAAAAATGAGCCGATCATAATTTTTTTTTAATGCATAAAATGTCATTGTTACTTATTTTTTAAAAAAAATTATTGCACATAAGAACTTGTAAAAAATTGCTTTTTCTAACACAAAATTTTTACTTCTATAAGTTAAATAATCTGCCAAGAATTATTACAACTTTTCAATATTAGTTATGCAAGAATCATTTTAGGATCAGAACAGAAATAGACAGTGATTTTTTACATCCTACACACATTATTAAGAAAATAGGGGGAAAAGTGTAAAAAAATATCAATAAAAATTTTTGATTTTCTGGGTTGGAAAACGTATTTACACAAGCCTGATGCTATTATTCACATATTCTGTGGCTATTGTAGTAATACAATTAAATATCAATTAACAACTAGTGTACTATTCAAAATACCTAAAAAAATTCAAACAAAATTAAATAAATATTTGCTTAAAAAGAAAAACCAAAATACTTTTTCACAAAAAAGCATTTATTAGACAATCAAATTTTTATTTTATACAATTTGTGTTCTTTTAACTCTTTAATTTTTTTCTACTCATTTTAGCAAAAGATTTAAAGTAAGAAAAGATTATTGACAAACCTTCCAGTTTCATTTTTTTTCTACATTTCTGGTATAGTTGACCAAATTTTATTTAAGTAACAAAAATTTCACTAAAGTGACAGTGATGCAGAGGTGCAAATGCTTATTGAAATTTTTAGCAATTGGCTGCAAGTCTCCTACTTTTAATCTATCTCATTTCTGCCAGCATTGTAGAAATGTGCAGCTTACGTAGCCAAAGTACTTTTTGGCCCAGTACAACAGCTTCTAGAACGTCCCACTGGTACACTTTTTGATGTATTTTACACCCTAATCTACAAAGACCCGGAGGTGTTTTATTGTCAACACGTATTCTGCCAGAGATCAACTTAGGATTTTAGTGATGTTCAACAACTGCTTGAAGCATTCAGCAGACCAGGGGAGTTTTGTTGAAAAGTTTCTGATCAGTGGAAAGGAATCTCATATAGAGCTGACTTGATACTTGACTGATAAAACTGGCTGACTGACTAGATAAAAGCCTCTGCATTACTGCAAAAGCCACCTAGAAACCATTTAAATGTATTTATAAATAAAAGCCTATTCTTACTATAATTTGTTAATTTACTTATCTTTAATAAAGCCATACTTAAAATTGTTTGTAAGTATTATTTTGTGGCACTCCTGCAGATATATGTATATATAGATAGAGAGATTTTTAAAAAAAACTACATTAGCATTGTAGAATTTTATTAATGAGATAATATTTACTTTGAAAATCATTGCTGATGGAACTTTGTAGCTCTTAACTATAATACAGCCTGCTTACTCTATCTGAATATGTTTTTGTTTTATTTCATAATTTTTAAATATAAATTTTAAGCACCATTTTGAACTATTCACAAATGTTAGGCAAATTTTTTATTACAATTTTTTTTCTGTGTGGAATGGCCCCCAAAATCTCACCCGATTTAAAGCAATAGAAAACTATATTATTTACCATCCATTTCTACTAGAAGTTGATTTAAAGTGTTTTCTTGCTCACTGTGACCACCAAAGCTTCTGCCGCCTCTCTTTCGGCCCACAGCATCTATTTCATCGATGAACAGAATACAAGGTGCATTCTTCCTTGCCATTGAAAACATATCTCTGACCTTCATTTCAAAAAAATTAATGAAGCTTAGATTTTAACAAAGCCACCAAATAAAATAATGAAGTAGAAATAAGTATGCAAGAAAACATTTATTAAATTTATTTTTCCAGATTGAATGGCGAAAGATCACTACTTTGAAAAAGGCATAATACATCACAACATTAAAAAGGCATATTAACATTTATTTAGCAATACCAATTTTTTGGTCAAAAAAAAAAAAAAGACTTTAGCACATTTTTATTCAAAATTTGCTGATAGATGGTCCAACAATCTCAGACTTATGATCAAGACTAGTGGTTGAAAAAAAACTACATTTTCTCTGTAGTTAACTATGACTACTTTATTACAATTGCAGTGAGCTACAACTACTATTTCTTAATGAAGCGACTACAAACTACTTTCGAAATGTAATTACTACTTCACTACTGTTAGAAGACATACTTAACTGGAGAGCATAATTTACAACAATGTTTAAAAAATTGGCTTAGTTAAATATAAGAAGTTCACATGATATAGTTTGCTATTCTAAAACACATTTTAAAAATGTGTTCTTTTAACTTTCAAACTCTATGCTCTTCTCGGCAGTGAACATTCAATTTAAGAGATGATAGGAAATCATCAATTAAGTTTATCTATACCATGCTATTTTTCATCAGAAAACTTTGCTTTTTTTCTATATTTGTTATAACAAATATTAGATTTTAATAGAATGAGAATGGAAACATGGAAAAGTTTCACGAAAAGGTGGAATTTTATAAGATGATTGTTAGAATTATTTAAATTGAATCTCAATAACTTATTACTGTTAGTAACAATTCTAAGACTGCTTCTTTTGCAGGTATGATATAGGAATTTTCCAGGTTTTTTGTAAAAAATTGTAACTTTCCCTGCTTATTACAGTTAAAATAAAATTCCCCGACAATGCCAGGTCTTCCTTGTTCTCTCTGACCCATGGGAGCCCTGCTTAGATGAATGCTTGCAAAAAAAAGTACTTAAAATTTTCAACAATGGCTATACTGACACCCTTTAGCTATAAATCAAGGCCTTCCCAAACTTGTAAAAAAATATGGTTTTTTCCGTGTTATTCAATGGTAAAGTATTTAAAATCAAGGAAATTTGGTACTGCAGGATTGAACTGCATTCCATTCAAACAAAAATTATTTTTAATATAATTTTAAAGTAGTAATTGTGAAAGCTTAATTCGTAATTTGAAAATTCTTAACTAATGCCACAAAAAAATAATTTTTTATTTGTCAATTACTTGACAAAAAATAAATAAAACATTCTCAGAACCGCCCACTACGGAGGCTTCATAATTTAATGATTAACAGCAACCAACTGCCTTTACTTTCCAGACAAGTAACAAGTTGATACTCATCGGTCGAAAGCTGGGCAGGCTTCTTCACATTGACAGCTTAACCATGCCTCTAACAAACATTAAGTTAATATATATTATTTAACATAAGGAGATGATGTATGGAAAGATGCTTTAAAAAGTGACAAAATTTTTACAGCAGAATTCATTAGTGAGTGATGCTGCCCTGAGGATTTGCCAGATGGTTAGATATGCCACTTTTAGCCACTCAATTTCAGTAATAAAAAAAATTCCCTTACTTTTCTTGGTAAATCAGGAAAATTTCAATGAAAATTCAAACCCAGTTTACCCATACCATGCAATTTTTTAATAGATAACTTTGATTTTATTATTTAACTCGAATCTCAATAACTGATTACTGCTACTGACAATTCTAAGACAGGATATTTTCCAGGTATAATGTAAGAGTTTTCTTGGTTTTTGCAACAACAAAAAAAATCTCACTTTTCCCTGGCTATTCCTTGATCTTTAGAGTCAAAATAAAATTCCCTGACTATTCCAGGCTTTCCCTGTTTTCCTTGACCCGTGAGAGCTGTTTTAGTGAATGCCACATCGAAAAAATGCCACATCGAATGCCACATCACATTCAAAAGGTCAACACTTATCATCAATTCATGGGTTTATTTGATATAATAATAATAACAGTTTACATATAAGTGGATATAACAAATGGTAGCAAGTGGGACTACTTATCACTGTCTTTGGATACGTAACAAAAAATCAGAAAATAATTTTAAAAATTAGTAAAAGTCAAGGAAAAAAAATCATTATACCAAAGATACCAGACTAAATCTTACACCTGCTTTGTTTTATAATAATAATTCTGCGACAATCAGAAAGTTGTTTCTTTTTATAACATGCAGAGAAAGTTTTTTAATTATTTGCCTACCCTTGAGGGCCCCACTCCAACGAACATCTCCAAGAATTCAGAACCTGATACAGTGATGAATGGTACATTGGCTTCTCCTGCTGTTGCTTTGGCAAGCAACGTTTTTCCAGTTCCTGGAGGACCAGTCAATATAGCACCCTTTCAACATAGACAGAAATAGAAATACATTTAATATCATAATTATGAGAAAGTCTTCTAATAAGCAATTATAAAACAACTTGAACCAGAGAATCAAATGTTTAAAATACATGATTAATAATGATTATTAGAAATTGCATCTAAATACAGTACAGAACTTTTTTTCTGGTATCTAAAAAAACATGAAACCAGAAAACAGTAAAAAAATTTGCTCAGTTTTCCCACCATTTTGAACTAAAATGTTTGGGGCAAAATGTGAAAATTCCAGTCATCCTTAAAGTTGAGTAAGGAGTTTTTTTTCTTTCTTTCTGTGTGCCAAAAGAAAATTATCAATATTTCTTTCTTCATTTTGAAGCAGGACCCATGACTTCCAATTTAGTGGGTCCCCGAGGATCAAGTTGAAAATAGTTCAGCACAAAGAATATATATTCATAAAAACTATTCCTTTTATTTATTCAAAAGTTTAACTTTTAATCCTCAACAGTAAACTCAGTTTGAAGTTGAATTATCCGACATGAAACAGGTTTTGTCTCTATGTTATTCAAGCTGCACAACCATTCAGGTCATAGGAGAGAAATGTCTTAGAGTTGAGAAATTTGAACATCAGTCGCAAAAATTAAGAAGAGCATTTTATCCACTTAGCAGAGTGCTTTTAAGCAGAATAAAACTTAATTTACTGAAAAATAAAATGTTTTCAATACATCTATTAAGTAATTGAAAACTTTTCATGTCAAATTTCAAAAATATTATTTTGAAGAAATATTTAATACATCAAAATTCATGGAACAAACGATGCATCCAATAGTTTAAAAATTTTAAGAACAAACTCCACTCAAAACAGACGCTTTTATTGTTTTTGTTCCTTACAGTAGTCATAAATTAGGTTATTACCTAGGTGCAATAAAACCCAAAATTATCCCAATTACAATAAACCTATGATTTGTTTTCTTTTAAAACTACCCCTTTACATAAGGAAACTTACTTTTGGAATTTTTGCCAAGTTCAGTATATTGCTGCGGATATTTTAAAAACAAATTCAACCCTTTCATTGTTTTTGTTCTCTACAGTGGTCATATATTAGGTTATTATTACTATAAAACCAAGAATTATGCCAATTACAATTTTAAGCCTATGATTTTTTTCCTTAAAACTGTACATTAACATAAAAGACAAATAAGAAAAAATTACTTTGGGAATTTTTGCTCCAAGTTCAGTATATTGCTGTGGATTCTTTAAAAAATTAACAAATTCCATAATTTCTACTTTTGCTTCTTCACAGCCAGCAACATCTCTGAAATTTAAAAAAAAAAGACACACTGCCCAAAAAATTCTAAAGGAATACATGAAAACCAACTTGTTTATTAATTGTACGAAGTGATTACCTGAATTTTACTCCTATTTCAGATGGGTTGATCAGTTTAGCAGTTGTTTCTCCCATCCCAAACAAACCTCCCATTCTCCTGCTACCTCCACCTCCCATCATTCCAGCTGTTTTTTTCATATTCCATACAATAAAACCAACAAGAATGATCATTGGTAAGTATGAAACTAAGCCAGATCTAGAAAGAGTAAAATAATGTTTAAACTTATCACTTAAAAACCAATGATGAAGGCGTGAAGAATGCTAAAAACTTAAGAGAGATGCAAAAGCCATCATGAGTCACAGGATTATAAAAACCACTATCTTTTGCAAAATTTTCATTTGTGCAATAAACTATAATACAAAACTAACAACTTATTGAATAAACTATTATTAAATGTGGCTCCAAATTTTTAAAATATATTCAACAAAAAAAATATGAATTTAAAATATTTTTGTTCAAAATCAAATATTGCTTTATGTAAGCTTAACCTAAGCTTTATGTGAAGCTTTAAAAACTTAAGAGAGAGGCAAAAGTTGCCACAAGTCATTTTCAATTAGGGATTGCATCATTAAAATATGTTTTAAAAATATTTTTAAAATATTAGTGTATAACAGAATTTCAAATTAAATTCAAATAATTATAATAAATAGGTAAAAAAGTAGCTGCCTTCGTTAAACCAATATGAATATGAGGTACAAATTTTTATCAATATTATTTGAGTTTATGAAATACATCTTATCTATAATAATGTGCTAATATAATGTCGAAGAGTAGTATACAAAAAATATTTAAATTAAAATATTATTAATATGCATACAGACAGATTTCTATTTAACGAACTTCCATTTTGCGATTTTTTTTCTCTCGAGAAACCAAGAACATTTCGGAAATTCCTTCCCAAAGTAACTTCCAAACAGCAAAGTAAATTTTCTATTCAATGAACTTTTCTTCGAGATTCACTTTCCCCATCTCCCAAAATACTTCAGGACATTTCAAACTTGTTTAATGCATTTTATGACTGATTTTTGAAGCCACTTAACTTTTAGAGAAAGCAGAAAATTCTCTTTTTGTTTGCATTTCAAAGGAAAAACTCAAACAAAATTAAAGGATTTTATCAGTAGCAATTAAACTTAATAATGCATGTGGTAATAATATATGTTGCTTAATAATGCATGTTTAAAATTACTTAACAAATAATATAACTTAATTAATTAAATTGACATGCCTAATAATATATGTTTAAATTACTTTTATAATAAATGCAGCTATAATTTTATACATAAATTTAGATTTTTTTTAGTTGAAAATGCATGTACCATGATAGTGTAACACTGGATAATGTTTTGCTCTATTCTTGCTTTCCATGCAGATTTCTTTTATGCTTAAGATTTATAAAATAAATAGTACATACTAGTTTATAAGATAAAGGTGCATCGATGGCTATTTTAATTATGTTAAGTGTTTATGAATTTAAAACTTGTTTTGTATTGTTTAAGTATTTCAAAAGATGATTTTCTGTTTAAAGAATTTTCCATATAACAAACTTATTATCAAGATTTAGCAACATCGCTAAAAAGAGGTATGACTGTATTAAAAAAGAAGAAAATCACAGATCCGTGGAAGATTTTCACCCCTAAGCACCACTGAATCAGCCGTGCATACTTCAAAAAGATCAAAGGAAACTTGTACAATAGCCATTTTGTTTTGCATCACTTTAAATTTTTTGTGTAAAACCAGTGTATGGTGTTTCAAATAGAAGATAATGTGAAGACTTACCCATCCATTTCTGTTTTGTACACAACAGGAACAAAATTAGCAGGCTCAATATTCATTTCTAACTGTACATTTTCTAAATTTCTCTCAAAAGTATCAACACTTCCAATGTTAAACCAATATTTATTCTATAGAAGAAAAAAAAAAGAATTTAATATTAACAGCAACCAAAACACAGCAATGAAGAACGATACAAACTATTTAGCAGACAAATTTCAAATTGTTAGTTTTGTACTTCATAACAAATTTTACTCTGGGGGAAGCTTCAGCTTTTCTTAAGAACTTGCGATAATTTCTAGGGGCCTTTAAATTATGGCCTGGTATGAGTATTTAAATTATGGTACAGTACAGAACAATTTATCCAGTACCCAGAAAACAGCAAGGGTTATTGTGAGCCCAAAAATATCCTGAAATTTCTTGAGTAAAATCATTAATGATGCATTAAAAAAAATTATGTCTTTTTAAATTTAAATCATTGATATTTTCACAACATGAAATTCTAAATAAATTATATGCAGCATGATTTAAATGAATAATTATGTATAAGTTTACTTTTATATCAAATCACATTTATTATTCTACCATAAAAAATATTTACAAATGAAAGAGATGCCAAGTATAAATTCTAGTATAATTTAAATAATCACATCCAAGTATAATTTAAATAATCACTTTTTGTGCACTTTATTTGTGACTATTTCATCTTAAATTTAAGTGATTTTTTATCTTTTTTTGCAATTCTTTCTTCTTTTTCAACAATTTTTTTCGACAGTTATTGCTATGCGTTCCCACGCATTATAAAAAATTCCAATTATTCTATTACGACATGCAAATTTGAGCTGAGTTCAGCATAAATATGTTTTTTTCCCAATTATTTCTACACTTTTCCACATGATATTGACGATCCTGTTATTTAACTATGATGTTATTACGACACGTGATTGATCACGCAATTAAATAATCCCTTTTTGATACGGTATTTCGGTACAGTTTTATCGGAAATCCTAGTTATATTTTCTTCGTTTTTATTTTCGCAACGAATATGATTTGGTCGAATGTGGTAATGAATTGTGATTTGATCAAAAACCAAATATTCGGCAAAAAATCGACTGAATGCCATACACTTAAGGCCAAATAGCAAAATCTTTTAGTAGCATAGCAACACTGAAACTAAAATATCAATGCTCAGAATAATATTTCCTGGAAAAACGTATTCATAAATTGACTCTAAAAATAAGGCCAATCAAGAACGTTTTTGAAAATGTCGACGAAAAGCGAAACAGAGAACGTAAAAATCAATCTTAATTTTTGAAAAAAAATTTTAAAGCTGAACATCTCATTTTTCAATTACCAGAAAAAGCCAAGAAAAAAATAATTAAGTCAACAGAAATGCTGTTAAAAATTACTGCGTTATAATGAAAACGTCTAAAAAAAGTTTTTTTTTATTTAAAGAAAATAAAAAGATAGAAAAAACGTTATTATTTTTTTAAATGAAAATCTTATGCCGAAAATCTCAATTTAAATTTTTCTCATTGCCATAATTTTAGAAGAAAAAAAATTGCTATAAAATAAATTTGATTAGTAACTTTATTTTTTAAAAAAAAGAGTCATAATAAAAATGCCTAAAAAAAGAAAAACAGAAAAAACAAGTTTTCTTAGTTCTTGAAACAAAACTTTAATGCTGAAAATCACACTTTTCTATGTTACTGGTTATTTATATTACAGTACAGGGAAAGAGTGATAATAAATTAATAGTATGAGACGTTCTGTTAAAATGCTGGGTTATAATAAAAACTGCAAAAAATNGCACCATCTGTTGACTAACTTTGCAACCAATTTCGAAGTCCGTTGTGAATAAATAATGTAGTTTCCTTAAAAAAAAAAAAAAAAATACTTAATATCTATAAAAATTCAAAAATAAAAAAAACTTGGAGAAATAAATTTTTAAAAAATATTCTGCTGAATATTTGACTGATCATTCAACCAACTGAATTTTTCACAAAAGGGCCAAATACTCGTTACATCCCTCCCTAATTTAAATGTAATTTAAATGCAACTTGAGAAATTCATAAAATACCGGAAAACGTGAATTTTTAAACTACTCACTGTTTGTAGTTTAGATTTCAATTTTTTGTTGCTTGAGTGATCTTTTGCGATAAAAAAAAGGAAAATGTTTACGATACAAAAAAAATCTAATAATTAATAAAATAAAATAATGAAGTACATTACGAAATAAGCATTGAATTTTATTTTGAACTATCACAGTTTTGTTTTTATTTTAGGTTTTTGCTTAAAACCTATAAATTTCCTTCAATTAAAATATTTAATTTGAATTTATATTACTTAATTATGACTAAACTTTTTCCTACTTTCATTCTGTGGACAATGCAGTTTTTTTTTAATTTATTAGAATTTAATTCTAAAATGAATTTTCGTATTGCATGATATGGTAAAAAAAAAAACCTTTCTTTTCTTCAATGTTTATTTATTTTGATAAATCTATTGTTCATATAATAAAAAAAAAACAAGTTTTTTTTTGTAAAAAAAAAAAGTATAAGTTTTTTTATTTTTGAATGAATTCTAATAATGGAACACTACTAAGTTATTGATATTACTAAGTTTATT